GATACAACGTCTAAAAACACAATACCCAGCCGGGCTAAATCATAAATTTAACAATATATAATAGTAACAATATATAACTCAACAAATCAAAACCTACCCACATTTCTCACCCACACAAGACAGACATGCTTACGGAGGAATGGAGGCCTCACACTTATACACTCACCCACACGATTATACACACGTACACACACCATACTCACTCACTCCCTAATAAGCCAAATGATAACACACACCTACAGCAATACACACGCTTACACATATCATACTCACTCACTCCCTAAGGACCAAATAACACACACACAAACACTAAACAGAGACACATCCCCTCACCAGGTGCAATAAAACTGTCAAACTGACCAGAGAATTCAGGATAAAATGTATCTATCCAGTTCTTATCTCAAATAACAACTTAAAAGAGACTGTTTGACCAACACAAGGAATGTTAAAAGATTCATGTGAAAAGATAAAAAATAAAAAAAACAAATGAAAACTACAGACAAAAAAGTCATTTTCTCCAACAAAAGACATTCATTTCTGTAGTTCACTGCCAACAGCAAGCAGAAATATTTCTCCTCCCGATGATGGCCATTTCGGTCGAAACTAGTCGAGGAATCTAAATGGAATAATAATAATAATAAAAAAAACGAAAGAATATTAATCTACAACCCAGTGTGTCTAATGATTTTAATTTTTTAATTTTTAATTTTTATTTTCTTATTGTTCAATATATATATATATATATATATATATATATATATGTGTGTGTGTGAGAGAGAGAGAGAGAGTGTGTATTTGAGTAGCATTCCATCTTTTATACAATTACCACATAAGAAGAAAATATACGAACATAAGAAAAATGAGCTAAACTTAAGTACAGTACCGTGTCAGTCGGTTTAACAAAGCCTATATATATATATATATATATATATATATATATATATATATATATATATATATATATATAATTGACTCTCCCGTCTGTTTCGACGTATGAGGATCTGACAACTTAATTGATTCAGTTATGAAATTTTGAGTGATAATCTTAAGTGGAAAATAAGACCCGCTACTGATTTACAGAGGAGGCTGCACATGGAGCAAGAGTAAAGATAGTGGGATGGGATCACTGTTAGATTGGCTGACCTTTTAGATCTTGTTCTCGCTTCTTGGAGACTATTCAGACAAGCTGATTGAAAACTGCTGAGTCCATTAAAATACGTTGATCTCCATTCTACCCGCTCCAAGGCTAAGCTGTCGAGGGCTTTATGAGGTATAATGACAGCTGACAATACACACACACACACACACACACACACACACACACACACACACACACACATATATATATATATATATATATATATATATATATATATAAAGGCATGTGTTAAAGACTACGGAACTTTTCTGTCTAATAATCATTTTTTTCTGGAAAGTTTTTTGTATTTGGGTCAAAGTTTCGAGAGTGTTTCTAACATAATAACCCTATCACATACCTTCGGACACACAACCACGACTCTCTCACGTCGTCTTACATACCACCTTAATGACACCAGCGCCATAAAAAAAATCACCTTATACAAATCCATTGTACCACTATTAACAGATTCAAATCCTCCGAAATATGAAAAATCATAATCAACAATAGCAAAATGATCTACAAAAATAAATTCAAAAAACTCTTACAGTTTCTTGAAGCCATCTTAATTAGAATCCCAAAACCCAACATAAATAAAATAGCATTTAATACTGGCAGAAACATTTTAAACATATTTAATAACTAATCCCCCTATTTATTAATAATGAACTAGTACAACCAAATTGTCTAAATACCCAAAATATTATCTTATAAAATAGGATACGTTATGCCAAATCCAGGGAGCAGAACCACCCATATTTCCCCAATATTCCAATTTTGATAAGTAAGTTTTTACTTGAGAACAGTTACTTTATTGGACAGGTTCCCACGTAGATGCTTCCTTGAACCCTACACTCTTAACCTCTTCAAGTCTAGGGTAAATTGCAACTTAGCCTCCTTATTCTCATAAACTATACTTTTTTTGTTAGCTTTTTCCACGTTTATATCACACCTCATTCAGTGAAAACCTACCACAAGTGACACTTGAGAATTATATTGGGTGAAATTTTGCATAATTTAAAATTAGAATTTTATTCTGAAAAAAATAAGATACAGTTACATTTTATTCAATAATATATTCATAATTTTTCCGATGACTCTCTGACACTTATCAGGTAGCAATGTTATAGTTTCAGATATTTTTAGTGGCAGTGTATTTTGGCTCAGGCTTTTTGAAGCTGACCTTTGAGGTCAGATGGTAGACAAAATACGGAAGTCGTTTTTGATTGGTTGAGCTGAACATGGGAATGTGTTATAGATTAAGGTTTTACGGAAGTTGCTGTGCAGACTTCAAGATATCTAAACGTATTAGATTGCGCTTGTGCATCCCCCAGTCGGAAAGGGCCTATCGAGAGTTGGTTGTTACACGTCAAAGGTAATGGACGTGTGAGATTTCGTGTTTGAAAGCTGCTCCCTAAAAGGGGGTGTATTGAACCCCACTTGGTACAATGTATGTCGACGGCACTAATAAAATAAGTAAGTTAAAATTTATCTTCTTTTGAACCCAGAGAACATTTCCGCGGCACCGGCCAAGAGAAGAACAGGACTGAACTAAAACGAAAAACGAAAAGTACGAAAAACAAACGAAAAACAGCCAGACGAGATCAGATCAACCAACATCCCACCGCCTAATGAAGTCTATACACCAGCAATTCGTTAACTTTTGAGTAAAATTAAGCAAGTTTTCTTGTGAAGAGGGTTTTTTGGCGAATTCTTGAATCTTTTTTTCGTTAGAGAAAGTTTTGAAGTTGTCAGCCTCCTTTAATCCACGGTGTATGCTGCCACTGCCGTTTAAATACTTTGTTATATTAGTTGATTCCAAATTTATTCTTAACTGCTACTATGATTGGAAGATAGTATTCATACATTTATCATTAAAATTGGTTGCCAACAACGGATATTACTTATGACTCAGTGTAAAAGTTTAGGGATAGCTGTATATACATGTACATTTAATAGAAAAGCTATACTTACAAGTAATAGAAAAATAAAATATTAAAAAGGAAAATTTAAAAAAATAATGGCCGGAAATTTTAGGTTTTAAGAATTTTTTTTGAGTTAATTATGGTTTAGTGATGTAGGTTTTTAGTAATGAATAGTGGTTCGGATTGATGAATCGGAGAGCCGAGTTCGAATTCCAGTTGAATCCATTACATTCACTTACGTGCTAATACTCTCGGGAAAGGAATAAATCCTCTTCTTCTCCCACTCGCTATGGGTAAATAGCAGGACAGACCAGGTTCTATAGCCTTGGATGGCAACTTGTCTACCGAAGAAAGGAATGGCAACCTACTGCGGTAAAAATCTGCCTCGTCAGTCATGCATCGAAATATACATGATCGCCTAAGCGTGTATCACACATGCCACATAACTGACTGGATGATGTAAGTTTTACTAATTAACCCAAAGCTGGAGGTGAAACATTGGTGCATTTCTACCTTTGCCAAGGATATTTGCAAGTAAGTGAATGTAATAAACGCAATGAGGATTGGAACTCTTCTCTCCTATTAACAATTTCGAGACATTATACATTACATCACACGCACACCCTAGCGTATAGCACCTGTTATTCCCAAGAGGCCACCCATCTTGATAAATGGACAGGCTCGACGTTGCTTAAGTTCGGTGATAGTATGCGAGCCGGGGTTTCAACCTGATGTGGCCGAAAGCTTCAAAATTCTAAATACACAGAAATAAAGCATAGAAACTACATTAGAAATTTAAAGTATACTCTTTAATATTTCTTACTAAAGATATCCTCTTGATTTTCTTTACAATATTATATTTTGTCAGATCAAAATATCTTTCTTTCTATATCTGAAGGACTAATTCCCTACTACAAGTTTTAGCCTCAAGGCAACAGTCTATTCTGGCCTGAAGGTACTCAAGCTAGAGCCTGGCTGAAGGTGATTATTGTATGACTGGCAAGCATAAGGGGGATATGCAGGTATGTAGGGGAAACGGTTCATTCTAAACTGGAAAAAGGTTGTAACAGCCAGTAAAGAATCACCCTGAGACTCTATTCAACAGATCTTTGGAATAAACTATACATGTGAAACTTACTCTTTAGGAATACGAAGGAAACTGAGGTGTTTCATCTCAATGTACACGGCGTGGAATGTCGTAGGTGAGAATTGGGAAAAATAAAGAAATAACTTATTTGAACATTTTCTATGGAAATAGCGGTAGAGTAATGAGTGTTTGAAACATTTCATCTGTTGGAAACGGGTTGCCAGGTGGAACACAATTCATCACACACAAAATGGCCAGGAAATTGGAACCTGGTCAGCTCCAACCCAGATATGGCAGCAGTCGTCTATTTTTGGTCTGAGGTGTAGGGAAAAAGGTGTTCATGACTTTCTCAAAGATATTTAATCAGAAATGACTATAAGCAGAGTTCAAACTCGACTGTTCCGTTTTTTTCCTGCTTATAAAGCTGCCACTACATGAAGCACTGTACTACATTAAATATCATATACAATGATAAAAACTCATCTAACAAAAGTTTTCTTGTCTGAAAACGTAAGCAAATCTTTTGATAATGTACGCGTAGAACATAGACGATTTCTGTTATGAGATAAAGAACAAGTATGTGATTTGTAAATACACAGTAAGTGAAAGAGTGGTAAAAGGTGGAAGGGGGAGGGACAGAGTAAGAGAAAGGTAGACGGAAGGTGTAATTTGGAAAAGAAAGGGGAAAAAGAGGAAAGGATATAGAGAAGCAGGTGGAAAGAAAATGAAACATCATTACAATATGAGATTGGAAAAAAAATAGGGAAAAGATATATTGCCAGTGAGAAGGAAATTTTGGTTGGAAGAAAAGTAAGAGGAAAAAAAGAGAAAGAGAGACAAAAAAAAAACATTATAGAAATGGACGAATGGCGATACAGAAAAAAAAATAAGGAATATTGAACGAAAATCTGAAAACATGCATCTTGAGGAGGGCATGGAAAATTTGGGAATGAGAAAAAAGAAGAGGAAAAGAGATAGAAAGATTAAAAGAAGTTGAGCAAGAGAGAGAGAGAGATAGGGGGGAAAGTGATGAAATGAGAGGGGCTGATAAGGAATATTTGGAGAGTGTAAGAAAGGCTGAGAGAATTAAAGAGAGAAAGAGAGATAGCGAAATATTGCGAGATAGAAGGAAAACTTTGGAGAGAGAAAGGAGAGAAAGACATATTGGGGAGAGGAGAAAAACCACGGAGATTGAAAAAGAAAAGAGACAGGGAAATGATTTAGAGAAATTGAGCAACTCTGAGAAACGCTAATTAGGATTGACAGAGAATAACGTTGAGAAAAATAGCGAGAAATCTTGAGGTAGAGAGAGAGAGAGAGAGAGAGAGAGAGAGAGAGAGAGACTAATATTAAAGAGAGAAGGAAAATTGAGAGAGAGAAAAGAAAAAGGAAAAAAAAGAGAAGTAGAAAAAGAGAGAATGGTTGAGAATGATTAAGAGAAGAGGAGATAAATGCTGAGGGGGGAAGGAAAATAATGATAAAGAAAAAAAAAGAAAATCGGGAGAGAATATTTAAAGAAAATGAATGAGAATTAGAAGTGGAAGAAAGTAAAAGAAAATTAGGAGAAAGAAAGGGAAAGACAGATGGAAAGAGGAGGATCTCGAAGAGAAAAAAAGACTAAGAAAAGTGTGTGGTTGTGTGATTGAGAGAAAGTGGACAGGTGAGAAAGAAAGGCTGAGAATGATTGGTATAAATTTAGAAAGAAAGGTAAAAATATTTCAAGAGAGAAGGAAAATTGGGTAAGAAAGAAAGAGTAAGAAAACAGAGGTGTAGAGAGATTGAGAGAAACGGAACAAGGGAGAGAAAAAGGCTGAGAATGATTAGTCGAAAGTGAGGAGGAAAGCTGGGTATGAAAGAAAGAGTAAGAAAAGAGAAATGTAGAGAGATTGAGAGAAATGGAACCAGATAAAGTGTGAGAGAAAGGCCGAGAATGATTGTTAGAAAGTACAAAAGAAAGCGACAAATATTGACAGAGAGAAGGAAAATTGGGAAAGAAAAGAAAGGGGAAAAAAGAGAGACTGAGAGAATGGAATAATTGTTAGAGGAAAACAGAGAAAGATTAGTAGAAAGTAAGAAAGAAAGAGTTACGCATTAGTAGAGTAAGGAGAAATGGAATAGAGACAAAAGAGGGAAAGAAGAGAGACAGATAATGATGTCTTGAAGGAGAGTGAGAATTAGAAAGAAAAATTGATTTGTCGAGTGTGGGAAAGTTTCAATGAATCAGGGAAAACGAAGAAAAGGTGAAGAAAAATTAACAGGCAGGAGAAACATTGAGATTTGAAAGCAAATATTGTGAGTGTGAAAAAAAAAAGAATTAAAAAGTGAAAAGATTTGGCTAGATAAAGAAAAATTGATGGAAGGAATGTTGAAAGAAGGGTAAAGAAGTTCGAGAAAGAAAGAAAAAGAGAAAGATTAGGAGAAAGAAAGAAAAAGAGAGAAAGATTAGGAGAAAGAAAGAAAAAGAGAGAAAGATTAGGAGAAAGAAAGAAAAAGAGAGAAAGATTAGGAGAAAGAAAGAAAAAGAGAGAAAGATTAGGAGAAAGAAAGAAAAAGAGAGAAAGATTAGGAGAAAGAAAGAAAAAAGAAAAGATTAGGAGAAAGAAAGAAAAAGAGAAAGATTAGAGAAAGAAAGAAAAAAAAGAGAGAAAGATTAGGAGAAAGAAAGAAAAAAGAGAGAAAGATTAGGAGAAAGAAAGAAAAAGAGAGAAAGATTAGGAGAAAGAAAGAAAAAGAGAGAAAGATTAGGAGAAAGAAAGAAAAAGAGAGAAAGATTAGGAGAAAGAAAGAAAAAGAGAGAAAGATTAGGAGAAAGAAAGAAAAAAAGAGAAAGATTAGGAGAAAGAAAGAAAAAGAGAGAAAGATTAGGAGAAAGAAAGAAAAAAAGAGAGAAAGATTAGGAGAAAGAAAGAAAAAAGAGAAAGATTAGAGAAAAAGAAAAAAAAAGAGAAAAGATTAGGAAAAGAAAGAAAAGAAAGAAAGATTAGGAGAAAGAAAGAAAAAAAAGAAAAGATTAGGAGAAAGAAAGAAAAAGAGAGAAAGATTAGGAGAAAGAAAGAAAAAAAGAGAGAAAGATTAGGAGAAAGAAAGAAAAAAAGAGAGAAAGATTAGGAGAAAGAAAGAAAAAAAGAGAGAAAGATTAGGAGAAAGAAAGAAAAAGAGAGAGAAAGATTAGGAGAAAGAAAGAAAAAGAGAGAAAGATTAGGAGAAAGAAAGAAAAAAAGAGAGAAAGATTAGGAGAAAGAAAGAAAAAGAGAGAAAGATTAGGAGAAAGAAAGAAAAAGAGAGAAAGATTAGGAGAAAGAAAGAAAAAAGAGAGAAAGATTAGGAGAAAGAAAGAGAGAGTGGAAGAATAGAGAAATATAATGTCTCTGAGAAAAGAGATATACTAGAACAATAATTCCCAATGTGGTCACGCATGGCCCTCCTGTGGGGCATGGTAATATTTTACTAGGATGTGCACACTTCGGCTTATTATACCAAAAGAAAAAGGGGGCAAATCGAGAATGACTTATTAACAGTGAATTGTTTTATAGTGAGTCTGAGAGAGAGAGAGAGAGAGAGAGAGTGTTGATACATACAATGCATATACAGTCTGCATACATAATAATATTTTGTGTGTATGTACGTACATGTGTAATTGGCATACATATAAGAATTAAGTACTATAAGGTGGCACCAGAATTTTAGAAATGCCAAAGTGGAACATGTCCCAGAATCGGTTGGGAAGCACTGCACTAGAAAATAAGTGGAGAAAAAGGTTGGGTGTGAGAAGAAATAAATAGAAAGAAAGAGAAAACGCGAGCGAGGCAAAATGAATAAGAAGCAAAAGTTGAAAGTAGAAAAAGAAAGCGATAACCGGGATTTATTTTGTAAAAAATACAAAATTGTGGCACAAGGCCGAAGAAAGCGATAACCTTAGGAAAAAATCGGTGAACTAAAGCAAATAAATTGAAAGAGAAAAGGAAAAAAAATACGAAAAAAAAATCTGTGAGAAAAAGAAAGAATGAGAAAGAATGTGATGGAATGAGAGAAGACGAGATTTTGATATTTTTTTTTTTTTTACAGAATTAGGGTCACAGCCAAAATTGATGATACTCAAGTCATGCAAAGACATCAATTAGTCTTTCGAAATAAATGTTTGCCATTTTGGAATTAAGATTTTTAGAAAAGAATTATCAAACAGGAAGAAAAATACGAGGAAAGAGAAAAAAAAATCTTAGAAGAAGTTGAATTATGAGAACACTAAATGCCCGGCTATTACTCGTTTTCCGAAAACACCAGTCTGTTACAGACTTTTGCTTAACACACAGAGGCCCACTCGTGATTTATACTGCTACGAACCTTAGTTTCAATTCCTGGGAGAGAGCACATAATTTTGCATATTTATTTTTTTTAACAGTGCCAGTATGATTAAATACTCTGTCACGATGACTTGCAATTTCGTGCTAACAAAACCATTAATAGCTTCTAAACAGTTTCGTTTTATCAATCTCACTCAACCCGTGCTATGGTTTTCACTTTCCAAAAGTACTGCATGCTGGGATAGCTTTCCCAGACGGTTAATGGTGTGATTCTCAGGGCCGGAAAGCCTAGATAACCCTCATAAAAATAATAATAAACCATTAATTATTATTATTATTCTAGTCCCATCCTTAGTTCGCAATAAGTAATGGAGTATTCATTTTGGATTGTATGAAAACACTGAAATGACATATCAGTGAGAAAAAGAAAGAAAGAAAAAAAAAATAAAGGGAAGATAGAAATGTTTAATGTCTGTTTCGGTGAAAAAGTTTTTCATTTTTCTTTTCATTTGTATCCCCTTACTTCTTAAAATAACGACTAACATTCATATTTATGATTGTTATTGTGATATGTTGTTAAATTTGTTAAGCTGAAGGGAATTTTTGCGGATATTTTATTAGCGTAGAACTCGCCATGTGATTATTCAATCTTTAACTTAAGTATTAAGATTCATCAGAATCTTAAAATAGGATAACCGTGGTATTTTTATAGGTGTTTCTAGAAATAATAATAATAATAATAATAATAATAATAATAATAATATTATTATTATTATTATTATTATTATTATTATTATTTTATTTCTGGTGTGTACTCATTTCTTTCCTAAACAAGAACAGCATTCACAAACACTCGTTCACGATGACTTGTGACTTCCTGCTAGTTCACCCAACGTCGGCATTCGGACATTTTCGTATTTTCAGTTTCACCCACAATGCTTAGGTCTACGCGTCGCATTCTTTTGTTTTAGACTGTTTCCCAAGATGGAATCATCTGCCCAGGCGAGATATTATTACGATGTTACCTCCCTGAAAGAAATTGCCAAGGTTTGAGTTTAGGGTTCATAGTCGAAACATTAATAATATGGGCAGGGGACTGTGTGGTTAATAATGATAATAATCATAACAATAATCATGAAAAAAACAGGATCAAATGCGTGGAAGCATAGATCAGAAGTTTTTTTTTTTTTTTTTTTTTTTTGCTCAGGGCCGAATGTGAACCCCGAATTTTTCTGTGGGCCATGAAATTATTATAGTGTAAAAAAATGACTTCCACTTTACATGGAATATACCCTATAACGATACAACTATGTCTATTTATTATGCATAAACAATTTCGCAATCTTGTAAAATATTTCGCATCTCCAGTGAAATGACCATTTATTATTATTATTATTATTATTATACAATTTTTTCCTATATATGGCACAAAAACATTCAGAAGCGAAAAATGAAGACTTAAAGAAACAATTCTTAGCTTCAAAATATAAAAACAATTTCAAACTAAGAACGACAATAAGAAAGAAAATTGGTTTCAACAACATTTATTGAATGTTATCCTTTTCCATCTTTACAAGCTTTTCTATATTAGGATGCCTACTTGTCAAGACAGATTCAGATCTTTTCTTATTTATTTCTAAACGGTCCCTAAGGTTATTTTTATGATGAGTTATTAAAATTTCTAGGTAACATAATGAGAAAAGAAGCTTCGGAAAATTGATACTCATAAGACATATTGTAGGCAAGAGGAATAGAGGAAAGCATAACCCCTGCCTAACGAGCTTGTGTAATGGTTGGCAGGATAGGGATTAGCAGAGATAGAAAATAGAATCTTTACTTAGGCTTAAAAAGGACACGAATTTGTGGTGAGTCCTGATTACCCACAGCCTGGATATTAATAGTAAAGGAATTTTTCTCTTTGGGTTATGATTTAGTTAAAATTTTAACATTAAATTCATGACATCCGATCCAATCGTCTACACTAGTGGTTCCCAACCTTTTTAGTCTCATGGCCCACTTTGAAACCCAGATATTTATGTGGGCCATGAAATTATTGTAGTGCAAAAAATTACTTCCATTTTTGCATATAATGTCTATCCAATATACATACAACTTTGTCTATTTATTGGACCAACCCAATTTTATAAACATTTAAAATATTTCACATCTCTAATGAAACGAACATTTTTTTATTAATATTTATTTTTACAATTTTTCCTATTCATGGCACAAAAGAAAAAGAAAAAAAATCACTAAACGCTCTATGGAAAATTTAGTAAGCTGTGGCCCGGTAAAAATGATAAATTTTCCGTTGCCAACCTTAAATTTGACATTGTCTATTTTGGCCATTTAGCCATAGGTTGGGAAAATCTTGCGTCGATGATGAAAGTTGGTCAAGTTATTATATTGAAAGCAACAGGTTCAAATCAACGCATCTTTGAAAAAGATAAGTAATTTGACTCACTGGATCAATAGGGAGTTCGATTCTAACATCATCTTTACATTTATTTCTTTGTATCAGGCTATGTTAAAAAACTATAAATGCAGGAGCGCAAAATAAACCAAACGGTAATCCGTCAAGTTATTTTCTTTCTTTTGTCATGAATTATGCCATTTTGATTAAAAAAAAGAAAAATCTCAACATGTTCATTCGTTTATTTATTTAGTTGTCTGGAGTTTTCTCTTTGAATTCGGATTTTTATACTATGGGATTACTAGACACACCACTTTACTGGTAAAGTAACGGTTATTAGCGCAGTAAATGGAATCCACGTGGCGAGTTCATTCTGGGCCTAAGCTGTCATTCACTTTGCATTAATAGAAAGGCATAAATCCGTCTTGCTTAAGTTTTGTGTCAAATAGCAGAAGGAATAGGCTAGGATTTCAAACCTTGGATGGCAGCCAGTGTTATAGAAAGAAATCTCGTTGAAACAGCAACGGAATCCATTTCACTCTATTTTCATGAACTTT